CAATTGCTTGCCAACAAGGCCGAGAGGTAGATTGGCCTTTGCAGATAGCTTGAATGTCGCGGCCGACGTTGAGCAACAGGAAGAAGTATTGTCGAGTATAATTGAAACACCTCCCAAAGGGTATCTCAATTGACTGTCACGTATGTAATTGAAGACAGAGACTTTGTGACTTTCATTGATGAGGTGGTTTTAAAGTTTGTGATGCGGGGTAGCGGGGTCATAAACCTGCACCCGCGCTAATATGTAAGGGTCACGAAGTTTAATAAGGGGACTACTTTCAAGGTCAGAAATTTACTTGCGCTCGGTTCGTCATTGTCCACTTCGTTTCTGTATTGTCTTCTACGTGCGCTTTCTCCTTCAATTGTCAATTGAATGAACAACATGGAGGTACACCGGGATACGCCCTAATGTATGACATTAGACGAACTGGAACTTCGTGGCGACAAAGACGAGCTGATACCCAAATCAAACATCAAGGTCAAACTGCAAGCTAAACCAATGCTACCATTAACAACTCCACCGATACCCTATTCAACAACACCAACACAAGCTGCTGAGCAAGACCAACAACCCAAACGTAAGATAGTGAGGTTTCTGGACCTTAGCAATCTAGTCGTTGCGCATAAGTTGAAAGTGGGTTTGCCTGTGGAATTAAGGACATAGATTCTGTGACCCCAATTGGTAAGGTGCTTACGAGTTTGCAATGCGGGGTCACAAAGCAATCTTTACGGTGAGTATGCAAGGGTCACAAAGTCTTCGCCCCTTTCCAAGGTCATAAATCTATCTTTTCCTATTCAACGCAAATCTCCAATTATTGCGCATAGGCTGCCGCAGTATAGGTTTGCCTGTGAAATAAGGATACATATTTCGTGACCCTACTTAGTAGGGCGTTTGAGAGTTGATGGTGCGGGGTCACGAAACTATACACATACTAATGTGTAAAGGTCACAAAGTCTTTACATTTTGTGACCCTAGTTAGTGGCGTAATTGGGAGTTTTTAGTACGGGGTCACAAAACAGTACTTACTCTAGTGAGTAAGGGTCACAAAGTCTGTTACCCCTTTTTACGTGTACAAAACCTATTTCTTCCTACAACAGCCAGGGCCATAAAGTCGAGATCTACAGCTTGGGCTATCACTTACCTTCTTCCATTCTCCATCTCTAATGGGTTGCATCACAATTAGAGAAGAACAGGTCCGTTCGCATTCGAATGGAATGCGCGGTCGTGTATAGACAGGTTGACATCTGAGCCAACAGGTTCCCGATTGTCAGCACAGCTGTATGTAGCTGCAGCTCTCTTCTATTCCGCGCATCGACGTGAACTTGTTGAATTGAAGTGCTAATCACGTTGAGTTGGATTTCGATTATGCGCTGTGCTATGATGACACATACAGCAGTAGTTAGGGACGACGACTCAAACAGCCCTTCCCATACTAAACCATCCCGTCAAAGACCTAAGAGAGGGACTTTGATGTTGGGCTGGCTTGGCGATTGACCAGTCATTGATTTAGTAGCATCTTCATTCATGGAGAAGCCAAACTGCCAATTAGGTTGTTCATACTGCTCGTATGAAGACATGGGGGTTAGGAATAGGTGGTGTTGTGTCTACACTAAACTTTACTACTGGCTAGCTACGGGAAAGGCATACAAGCTAAAGTACCCTTTGATTCAATTCATAAGAGCAGGCGTTAAGACAGCTTTCTATATACATGCTTAGGTTTTATCAGCTAGCTACCTGTTACTATAAGTGGTATGACATACCAAGGGTGATCTTTGACAGCTTGTATGGAGTTTACTAGCAGGTGTGTAAGAGGTAAGGTATAGGTCGAGACGATCTTCACGGGTTGTCGGATCTATCGTCTTGCGTGGTGGCAGAGATACTATCATGAGGTGGAGTGATAAGATACGGTAGGTGAGGTGTATGTTGTATCTATCAACTGTATGAGCGAGGAGGGAGATCCTTTTTGCATTCCACGCCAAGATACCATGTACAATACCTGAAAGTACTCCTTTACCACCCATTTCAACATGGAGCAAAAATGGAGATAGCTTCGTTGTTCATCAGGCAAACTATGGGAGTCTACAGCTATGCACACTAAAAGTATCCTACTAGATGTCTCGTCTAGTAAAAAAGCCATCGCAATCATGGATGACATGTCTTACGCGGATATGCGTACCCTCGTGGGAACGCGGCTGCAATGGCTCGCAGATATCGGCGAAAATAACAAAGGAATTAACGGCAGGATGGTAAAGGTACTTGACAAGATGAATGAGCTAGAGGACTACACGAAAAGAAGCAGAGGCTTAAAGCCAAACGGGTAAAGGAAAATAAGATTATTCAAGATAGGATTGATATAGTTAAGCGGCAGAAGGAGCCGAACGAAATAATAGTTCATCTACAAGAGCTCACCTACGAGATGGCCGTTACATCTCCATTTGTTGCACGTTTTAATTTACGTCTAACATTCCTAACGTAGGTATACGGTATTGTTGAAGTGAAAGATGATAAAGCCCGAGGCTCAAAAATACCTGTCAATGATGATTGATAGGCGCATTCCGAAGAGTCGGCCGTTTATACCTTTATTCAGTTCAAGCCAACTATCATACATTGTGTTCATCTATGGTTATCTGTTCTCCCACCTCAGAATCAAGGCGCTATGGATCCCGACAATATCAAGCCTGTCATCTGTGCTGAGATTCCCGTGGTGGACAGACTCGCAAAACAAATTGGAGGGCAAAGTCCCAACTCGTAATTGAGACGTAACAGTAACTATTTGACTCGATCCATACCACTTTCTACTGTGAGGTGAATGGGTAAGATCACTAAGTGCCCGGCTGATACTCGAGCGTGTTTCTCCAGTGTCCTTAGGGGTGGAAAATAGTGGTATGACAAAGACTCAGTACTCCGAGAGACTACCAAAGTACATAAGCTAAGCATCACTCAAGTTTTAATCCTCATTTTCAAGCAGAGATTGAAGTCAATCGTCGGGGTCCTAACAACAGAGAGTATGGGGCCAACTCCGAACAATGTAGCTTATTCACATTTTGGGGTGTTCATCTTTTATTCCAACCGTCTGGCTGTCCATCCCAACTATACGAGTACAGGGAGAGCAAAGTGGCAGTAAATTCGAGTAAAAACACGCATGATAGTCATCATCACGGTTGCCTTTCTTCTTCCGTTCCCAAATCACTTGAGCACTAAGACGAACGAAAACCAAATCAATAGGCCAGAAGAAGTAGACCGTATGCTAACTCGCACGCATATGAAGCTTTTCATCCTACTATTTGTCAGTATTCTAGATGAGAGGTCTAGAATAAAAGACCTGTTTAATATCCACAGGCTTCTAGAGTTAGGTTAGAGTTACTCGCCGATCAATTAAGTTGTTTCCGTGCCGTTTAGTTCCACCTCGTGACACTATCTATTGAAAGCCCCTCAAAGGAGACTGGCCGCCCACGACTGTCAAGATGTATGAGATAGGAAAGCTAGGGCTACAGTTTCATATGCGGCGCAGTACGGTCAGGTTGCCGTGATCATGCGAACCAACTATGTTCAAAACCATACGAACACAGGCCAGAACGAACTACAAACTACTATCGTTGGACAGGGTCAAGAATTGGGCCTCCAGGTTAGGTCAAAGTTCCTTGCGGAATAACCAAGTTGCTTCCATACTGTTTGGTTCCGCCTCGTGACATTAAGTACTATGAAGGCCGTGTGCTATTCACGGCGGATTTCCTCGAAGAGCTAGCCTGTTGTGGGCGGTATGGCTTAGAACGCCACGATATGCCAGCAGATGTACGAGGCACTTACATTGTGGGTATTTGACGACACCATAGTTGGGAGTCTAGCGCTCCGTAGGTATTAGACCCCCCAGTTTATTCCCTATCACGTATTTCGTCTAAGCACCAAGCATAGCTACTCGTCAGCCAATGTGTTGAGCTATGCGTTGTATGGTGTATACGTAACTAAGACGTAGGATGTCACGGATGTGGTTAGGCGTAGATCTATGAGACATCGGATAAAAGCCGCGCAACGCCCTCGAAAGAGGGTGTGCCAGGTGTTAATGGTTCAATTCAACTATCCTGGAATTCACTCTATGTATGACGCCAACCAAGGGTTCGATCTACTATGAGGGTCAACGGTTAAGTCAAGCTATTCGCTTTTGTTATCCCCAACTTGTACACTGATGGTTGTCGTTTACTATCCGCTTTCCTGAATGTGTAATCAGCAGTACAGGTTTCCAGTCATATTAATCGAGTGCCAGAACGTTTATGACCCAAGGATATGTGACTTAGAAGATGGTGGCAGAACCCAATACGATGGGGGAGGCACAAAACGACCATAAAGGTAGTAGTAAGTGGTTAGAATTTTGTGACCCGCCTTGCAACAAAGGTAGATGGTTTTGTGTGTCGGATCACAAACACATTGTCCCGCGTTTTTACAAGGTTACAGATTCTGTTCCTCATAATTGAGTTTGTGATAGGGGTCACAAATCAAACTTTACCCATCCAAGACAATGTCCCAAATTTCTGTACCCCGCTACGCGCTCTTACCTTACCAATCTATAAACTGCGTAGAGTAATGCGATAGTTGAGTGATATAATTCTGTTCCCATCACGAATCACTCCCTACCACTTTAGAAAAGGCAAGGCACAACGGCCAAGACATTCGCATCCCTTTGAATAGGTGAGTTCATTCTACGATTTACTACGGCTTACAAGTCACAGTCGCAAAGTTGGCAAGAACATAGAGGGAACAGGAACTAGCCATGTATTAGAAAAACGTGTTAGAATGCGACGGTTTGTTATTATTAGTGCTCAAGTAAAGACATGATGCCAAATTAGCGAGATGAAATTAGCGAGATGAGCAATGCCGGCTGTGCAATCAATGAGGAATCAGAAGCTTATCTGCTAGTTACATTACATCCTCCGTCGAACCGTGCTAATATCTCTTACTCCTAACTCCTATGAATAATTTTCCCATGTACCATGCACTTCCAACTCCTCCTAGTATCTTCCTAACCGCTTTGGTCTCTGGGGGCTCAAAGGCGGGCAAGGCGGGCACCGTCGCAAAGGCCTCTCTTGCTCATGTATCCTCGTCGGTTGAAGTCGGAGCACGTAACAGAGGCGTCGTAAGGACAGTCGGCCTTGAGATGAGGCTCTCCGCAGCGAAATCAGTTCTTGTGGACGCAATGAGTGGCGATGTGTCCGGGGCCGTCGCACTTCGTACACTTGACCGTGGGGCACGCGGACTTGGTATGACCCTTCTCGAAGCAGGTGGAGCACTGGGCAGCATTGTTGCAGGCCTTGTCTTCGTGGCCAAAGTCCAGACAGTTCTCGTAGAATACCGTCCTGTGGACTCGGCTCTGGCGTTCGAGCTCTCTGTACATGAGACGGAGGTTGGTCCAAGAGCGGCTGTGTCCAGAAGGTGGGACGAAGACGGACTCGTTCAGGAGGACTATCTCGCCTTGCACGCTGCGAGTGTGCGCGACTGCGTTGCGGTGGGAATCGCCGGTGAATCCAGGCCGGTCGGAGCGTGTGTAGTCTAAGATGACAAGATCTGCCTGTCCGCCTTGGAAACTGTCGAGGGTGCTCACTATGACTCGCTCGGCTAGCTTGGCGGGGGTCACGCCGAAGAGGTTGTGGACAACTTTGCGGTTGCGCAAGAGAGATTCGATCTCGGCAACCTGGGCGTTGTAGAAGGGGACGACGGCGATGGATCCGGGTGTAGCGTCTAGAGAGGTAAAGCCGGCGTCGAGGTAAAAGTAGCGCAGGGCTCGCAGGACGTAGTAGGCGTGGCGTTCATTCTTGACGGAAGCAGAGGCGCGCTGCTCCTTGGAGTTGGTGATGTCGACGACGACGCGGTTGCTGCCGGGGATGCCGGTGAGGTCCTGGATTATCTGCTGGACCTTGACGACCGAGGGAGGGAAGCGGTCGGCGCGGCCGATGCTCGACTTCATGATCCCGTTGTAAAACCATACGCTGGGCTCTTTCTGCAGGTCCGCGTACTGCCGGTGGTTGTGCACGAGACCCTTGAACGAGACCCCGGCACGGTAGAGCCGGTCGAGGCAAGAGATCTTGACCTGGGAATCGAAAGGGGCCGTCATGTCGCCGGGGCTGCTGCTGGTGAACGGCGTCAGCTGTCTAGGGTCTCCTAGCAGCACGAATAGCTTCGCCGTGGGGAAGGAGGCGATGCACATGACCGTGGTGATCTCTCTCATTCGCGCGTTGTCGTCCAAAACCACCAAGGTAGGCTTAAACTCGTTGCGAAAGAAAGTTTCGCGCGCGGCGGCCGGCGTAGCAAAGACGATCTGCGCCTCTCGCAGCTTCATCTGGTAGAGCTCCTTGATGTGGACCTCGGCCAACCTCTTCTGATCTTTAGACAGGGTCTTGTTAGTCTTTCCGAGCTCCAGCAGCTCGATGATATCCAAGTTGTCATTTGGATGCTCCCGCACGTAATTGAGCACCGAGGTATGAAGAGACTGGGTATGGAAGTTCTTTCTGCCCTTCTGCTTGGTGTACTCGTCCGCGTAGCGCTGGAACTCGGTCAGCACGGACTCGGCTAGGAAGTGATCGGTGGCGTCTAGCTCGTTGGTCGCTTCTGCCTGGAGGTCCTCTCGGGTGAAAGATCTCACCGCGGCCTTGATCTCGGTAGGAATGCTGTGCACCCTCTCCATGCGGGGGAACGACTCTTCCGGAGCGCCGTACTTCTCCAGAGTTCGCTTGAAGCCCAGCTCGTAGTCATCTAACGCTTGGTTGTGCGGGCAGATGATCAAAACCTTGGGGGGCTCTCCCTCTGGGAATTCCTCCTCTAGGTGCAAGGCGGCGTAGAATTTGACGAAGAGAGACTTGCCGCAAGCAGCCGTGCCGGGGATCGCTGCTAGTCCGAACGGGATCTTCCTCATGTGCTGGCTGAAAGTTTGCTTCTTGGACTCGTCGAAGCTGTCGTACATCCGCTGCAGGTGGGCGGGTGCGCTACCCTCTACCGCGCGCATCATGCCGGGGAACAGCTCGAAGTGGTCCTTCAGGGACGGAGAACCGTCCGGGGGCATTTCGAGAGTAGGAAGCCAATTGTAGATGCCTAACGCCAAGTCGCTGATGCCGGGAGTCTCCGCCGGGACAGAAGGAGGATGCTGCACTTCTTCGTGGGCCTGAATCTCCTGCCTGAGGGTCTTGGTGAGGTGCTTCACGGTGATCGTGCAAAACTTGGCCTCGTCATCTTGCAACTTGTTCTGAATGTAAACCCCGTAGTTTTCCCCCTCCTTAGGAAATTCCAGGCCAAAGTTGCAACGTCTCCTCTCTCCGCCGCAGCACTCGGTCCAGGGCTCTAAAGGTATCTTTGCGATGAACACCCTAAAACTGCCGCCGAGAAGGGGGAGCGAAGGGTCCGCGGCCCAAGCGTTCCAGCTGCGAAGCTTTTCTTCTGAATCCTCCTTATCTGGTACTTGCGGGACTTGCAAATACACAGCGTGCTCGGCAACGAACGCGGATAAACCGTCCATATCTACCACGCCGCCGCTTTCGTAGGCGTCCTCGTAGATCTGTTCTAGCCCGTTTAGTATCTCTTCGGACTTGTCTTCGGGCGTGTCCTCCTTGAGGACGTTGCAAAGCTGGATGAAGACATCTGCAGACTGCGACCTCGAGATGGCGCGAAAAGCTAGCTCGGCCAGGAACTCGGGCAGTTGCGTCTCGATGTTGATCTCGTAGGGCGGATTTTTGGCGCGCCGGAGACCGGAGATGGTAATCTTGCAGTCGGAACCCTTGTGGGGGAGGAGGTGGGTGTCGCGACCCAGGGGGATTGCGACGGCGACCGCGGAGGGGTTGCCGGAGTCGTCCTTGTTCTGCGAGAGGGCGAACAGGTGGCAGGGGAACTGCTTCTGCGCCATCTCGTTCGCGACGGACTGGGCGCGGGCGGCGTCATCGACGGTACCGTACGTCTGGGCGACCTTGTATTGTCGAAGGTCGAAAAATTTGACGCAGGGAGGCACGATCCCGATCTCGGGTCTCGTCACCTTTCTGCCCCCCGCCACCTCGTACTCCTTGCCGGCCTCAAGGATGGTCCCGGCGTTGAGGAGTTCCTGGGTAGGCGAGCGGATGAACCAGGGCGCGAGGCTGTCCGAATTGTTCTCCACGATCCGCTCGAAGATGCCAGCCATGGCGATGAAGGAGTTCATATTGGTTGAGAGCTCCGAGTATTCGTCGGTAGAGACGATCGGGACGGACTGCGGTACGGGATCGTCGGGACTAAGCTCCCAGGTGGGGGGGTGGGCGTCGTCGGTGACTAGGAAGGCAACTTCGCTGGGAGAGCCTCGGTTGACCGAGTCTGCAAATTCTGCCATCTGCTTGATCTGCGCCTTGAACACCGGATCTTTGTTCATCACCTCGTTGTAATAGAAGACGACTCTGCTGACCCGGAACGACAGGTAGATGCAGCCGTTGGGAGCTTGCACAGTGCCCGGTTCGAGTTTGAAGTCGCGGTTGAGCGAAATGGTAGCGCGATCTTTGTGCTGCCTAGCGGCCTCCAGCTCGGAGACGGACTGGAAATAGAACTCCATCCGGCCTACCCAAGAGTGGCGCCGAACAGCGCCTTTGATCTCGAGGTTGCGGACGAAGACCACAGAGATTCTGGGGTACGTGGCAGGATGGTACTCGAGCTTGAGCTTGAACTCGTACTGCGTGACGGGTTCGCGGCCGAGCTTGACGAGGTTGTCATCGCGATGCATGCTCAGAGGAGTTCCGCCCAGGATGACGAGACAGGAAACCGCCCGCGAGATAGCAGTGGGCGGCACCTGAGGAAGGTCGGTGAGGTCATCGGACTTCTCGCGGAGCTCCTCCTGCTCGCGGCGAGCCTGTTAAAGTTAGCTGGAGATTCGCTTACTGAAAGCCAAGTACTTACCTCGTCGCCCTCGTTGGTGTCTTCCTTGCCGGCATCTTCAATGCCAGTATAGTGAACGCTATGGTCGGAGAGATCGAAATCTTCTACGCCAGATTCGTAAACGCTGGAATCATCCTGCTGGAGTTGAGCCTGTTAAAGTTAGCTAGAGTTCCGCTTACTGAAAGCCAAGTACTTACCTCGTAGCGCTCGTTGGTGTCTTCGACGCCGAATTCGTGACCGTTGTGGTCGAGAAGGTTGGTATCTCCCACGCCGGTTTCGTGACCGCTATGGTCGGGAAGATTGATATCTCCCATGGCGGATAGTAAGAGTACCTAGACATAACGATTAGCAAACCAAGGTGCACTAAGCGGCGGTGGATATTCGTGTTCGAAATGAGTAGCAGCAATAACAAGAAGAGGTAAAGGAGGATAGAAATGAACATGACTATAACAATGGTAGCATGATTATTATAAAGTAATCATGTGGTAGTGTGAAATGATTGGCGAGCATGTACCCGGGAATGAATGCAGGGGATGGATGTGTAGCGGGGTGAATAGTGATGCGGGGTGAATAGTGATGCGGGATGAAAAGTACCACGGGATGAAAAGTACCACGGGATGAAAAGTACCACGGGATGAAAAGTGCAGTAGGGGTAAATACCTGGTGCAGTGGATGAAAAGTACTGCGGGGTAGGAGTGCGGGGTAAAAGTGCAGTGGAGACGGGGTGGGAGCTAAAGCGAATGGGAAAAATGCAGTAGGGATGACATGAAATGACGGAATGAAATGCGCGTTGGGATGGTTGGATAAAAATAGAAACTTACCTGGATGTCGCAAAACTACGTGGTACGCGCTTGATGTTCAAGGCTGCGAAAAGTTAACATGCTGAAAGAATTGCAGGATTAAAGATGACGCGTTTACTTACCAAATGAAGGAGTTGCGCGAATGCGAGATGCGAAGTGGGAGTGTCGCAATGTAAAGTTGCGGGAGAGGATGATAAAGTTGAGGGAGAGGTTGATAAAGTTGCGGGAAGATAATATTGTGCGTGCGAAGTTAAATTACTTTGCGGTAGGCGGTAGGTAGAAGGAATGTTATTTGATGGGAGGGGATAGTTGACGATGCGGGAAGGATTGAAATAAATTGAATTGTATTTACTGCCGCGAAAGGCGGTAAAAGTGCGCGGTGTGAAGGAACGAATGTTGTTTGTTGTGGGAAGGAAGGAAAAGATTGAAGGTGGAAGGAAGGAGGAAAAGATTGAAGGTGGAAGGAAGGAGGAAAATATTGTTGCCTGGTAGATGGTAGGTTAGTAGAAGCGGGAATAGTGAAGATAAGTTGGTTGCTGTAGAAGAAGGCGGGGTGGAAGGCGCAAAAGGAAATTGAGAATAGCAAGTACCTACCTAAGTAATCAAGTTTGGGGATGCTGTAAAATCGGTTAGAAAAATTTAACAGACGTGAAGATCAGCGCAGAATCAGACGATTGCGAAATCGATAGGTAGGAATAGCATACCTCTTCGTAAATACCGGACGACGCGCACGCCGACTGGGGTGTCTATGTGACGAAACAGTTTAGCCTCTTGTCGGAAGGGTCAGTTTTACTCGTGACGGAGCTAAATGCCGCGGCATTGTAGGATAGGTCGCGGCGGGGGAGTCGAGTGTGATGTATCGTAGAGCAAGTTGCGCCTCGCGCCGCGAAGGCCGGCGCATATCCCGGACATCGTGAAGGAGGGTACGAGAGATTGCTATATCGATATCGAGATATCGGCACCGGCTAAAGCGCAAGGTGAAGGATTAGCGACGGGGTATGTTCAAAAGAGGTCAAGACTAACCTAGTAGGTCAAAAGCCTAAAGAAAGATGGAGGATTGAAATGAGAAGGTTGCGCAAAAGAAGAGTCACGATAATTTTTGGTGTTGTGAATCAAATGTATGTGAGGAATGAGGAAGGAGGGAGGTGAAGTTGGGGGGTATGGGGCCACCACCCTTACATATACATATGTTATGTAACCGTGACCAGCCTTGTGGCCGTGGCTAGCCCTATAGGCTTTATAGCCGTGGCCAGTCTCGTATCCAGCCCGTGGCTAATCCCGTGGCCAGCCTTTATGATTGGTATATTTGTGGTTGATATGGCTTGAGCTGTGGCTTTATAAAGGCTTTTACAGCGGCCAAAGTCAACATACCTAGGTACCTGACGTGACTGGTTCAATTCAACTATCCTAATATTTAATCTACGTATGACAGGTTTTTGCCGGAACGTTCATGGCCCAAGGATATGTGACTTAAGCAACCTTAGGCGTAGGTGGGGGAGGCACAAAACGTAGTAGTAAGTAGTTAGAAATTTGTGACCCGCGTTGCAATAGAGGTAGACGGTTTTGTGCGTCGGATTATAAATTCTGTTCCTCATAATTGAATTTGTGATAGGGGTCGCAAATTAAACTTTGCCCGTCTAAGACAACGTCACAAATTTCTGTACCCCGCTACGCTCTCTCTACAATCTATGAACCGCGTAGAGTAATGCGATACTTGAGACGGTCTCAACAAGCCAAGTCAAGCAAGCTTTTATTAAAAGCTTGGCCGCACCCAATTCAAGTCATATAGATATCTGGCCAATTCAAGTCAAGCCAATGCAAGTCAGGTCAAATAACTTGTTAAGACCGCTGACTCGAGTGGCATACGATTCTGTTCCCATCACGAATCACTCCCTAGAAAAGGCAAGGCGCACATTCACATCCCCTTAAATGGGCGGGTTCATCCTACGATTTACTACGGCTTACAAGTCGCAGTCGCGAAGTTGGCAAGGCAATGCAACACGGACGGAACAGGAACTAGCCATATATTAATCTATCTGCTAAGATGCGCCGCCCGTATTGGGCTTCGCAGTCCTCACCGACGATTTGGGTAGAACTATCTGCGGACACGAGCCGCAATTATCTGCGGACACAAGCTGCAGTGATTATGCTCCTGTCTACGGACACGGGCCGTAATGTGTTGCCATCTCATGAGCAACGAGGGCGATAGTAAACTAGCTTAGACTGCTGCCCGTGACAGGGTTTGTCTTGATGGCGGACGTCTTTATCCACATGCCACGAAAAGTTGGTAAGATGCCGGAGCCGAACCGGCTGATGCCTATCGCCGCAGATCGGGCGAGACGCGAAACCGAGAGGTAGTTATGGCTTCGTTATCAATACTTGGTTGCGGCTGTGTTGCCACATCACGTTTTCATTCGTTTAGGGCTGACAAGGAAAAGGAAAGTGGCGACGATGCGAGTGGAGGCTTATTCGGCGCGCCAGGTTGAGCGGGCTGGGGGTGCTGCCTCGCTTGCGCTTTCTGCTCCTTTTCGGCCCGCCTTGCTGCGGCGCAGAAAGAAGTAAAGTCGCCACCCGTCAAGGTTGCGAGCCCGTCGAGGGCGGCGGGAGTGCTGTTAGGGTCGACGACTACTTGAGCTCGTGGATTCTGGTAGTGCCACGCCTCAAGTGTGGCAACGGCTTCTGGCTGGTCAAACAGAGCCACGGCGCCGGAGCGCGTCCACGGCATTGTTAGCTCGGCAGGGTTGACTCTGCCCTCCCGGATGAATTGTAAAGCCAGCTTGTAGACTTCGCAGTCGGAGCGGATCATGCACTTTCCCGCTCGCCTGAGGACGAGAAGCTCGAACCTGGCCCAATCGTCTAGGCTAGGCTGGCTGTGGCAATAGTCGAAGCGGTGATCCTTCGTGTTGCAGATTGGGCAGCCGAAGATGTCGCCCCATTTTCTATGAACTGGCCAGACGCAATCCGCGAGGACGTGAGTATCCTTACGGCAGTTCGCGCAGAGGGTGCGATCGTCCGCCTTTCTTTTCAGGCTTCCTTTTACGACGAGATCGTCGTCGAATGGTAGTAGCTTGACGCCGATATGATCTCCGCTGCTCTGGCCGGGATTTTCCTTGGGCAGCGTTATGAACAAAGCTAGCGTTTTGGTATCTGGTGCGTGGGTGGATATGTAATTATTCGTCATTGTCGAGAGACCTGCGGTCGTAGTGAAATACCTGGCCAATACTTTTACATTGTCCTTTTTATGATCAGCTGGTTGGACTGGGATAGAATTTCCATCGGCTCTTTTAGTTCTCTTGGTAGCCGGGGATTGGTTGTTACGGGCTTCATTGCCGGCATTGTTAGGCTGGGGCTGCGAGAAGGATGGGTTGGGCTGATTGCCGCTGGTCTGGTGGGGATTGTTGCTCGACATTTTGATCGATGGCAATGATAGTAATTGATGGATGTGATGGAATTTGATGGTTTCGTGGTGCGAGTGTGATGGTATGCGTGGTTTGCGAAAGTGTTCAAGATTAAAAATTTCGTGTTGTGCGCGGAGGTATGTGCATTTATTCCCACGACGACGTGTTTTGCGATAGCCTACCTTAGCTGCAAGTCAACTCCCTTTAGGCACTTTGCTTAGCTATTGTGCATACGTATATCCCTAGGCATTGTTATAAACTAATGATCTACGACCGTTACATATATTAGAGAGGTGCTAGTCTATTCCCTTGGAAATTTCCTGCTCAAGATCTGTTATGAAGTGGAGCAATAAGCAGGGAAACGAATTCTTTCCACGAGGAACTTTAAGCTAGCTACGCGGGCCTACGGCTATACATACTGGAAGTATTCTTTGTTCTAGATGTCTCGTCTAGATCTTGACAATCACACTGGGCGATCTTAAGCTCAGGTGTCGGTCAGTCGTACCGTACGACTCTAACCATCATGTCCCACATACTTCAAGATCACTTTCTTCACACCCCGATAATTTATAACGAAGCAATATAGGACCTACTAGGACGTCATGAAACTGTAGCCTACACCCCACCAAGTGTCCAAATGATTAGCTGTGAAGAGGTATGGGAACAATACTGGGCAGTAATTGGTATGGAGTTGGTAATAATCGTTAGTTGTTGGTATATGAGACAACACCACGAATACCACAAAGTTGAATGTGAATAATAGGGACTTGAGAAGTTAGCTCATAAGAAGAATAGAAAGTGACTACGTGGCGTGGTTAGGTTGAATGGGTAGGCATACCACACCAATTAGGGTTTGGGGACCATCTATATATTGAAAGGATCACCGTCGTAGTCGTAGGTAGGCCTTCGAGAAATAAGGAGGGTGGTAGGTTTAAATTTTCAGTACAGGCAATTTCCCTTTTAGCATAAAGCCGGATCTGTCAAACTTGCGCAGGACTTATTACTTGGAACTTAGTGAATTATGAAAATGAGTTATTGTAAACTTCTATCTTGTCACTTGTCACGAGGTAGAACCAAACAGCAGAGAGACAACTTCGTTATTCCGCAAGAAACTCTGACCTAACTAAGGAAGCCTGTGGCTATACATGTCCTTTGTTCTAGATGTCTCATCTAGATCCTAACAGCCAAGGCTTGACACTCTCCAATGATGACGGTAGCCGAATCAATTGTCACGTAGCGACGCAGACGAGGATGGTCCACGTGGGTTTCGCAGTGCTCGGAAATTGGGTCTTTTGGAAACGACGCTGTTCTTGTGCGCGTTTCGTGAGTTGCTGTCCTCGTTGTCCATATGTAGGTGCTGGATGAGAAGAGGGCTGACCATATGTAGGTGCCGGATGAGAAGGGGGCTGGCCATATGTAGGTGCTGAATAAGAAGGGGGTAGTAAAAGTTGTGGCAAAGATGTGAGGCTTCCAGTTTGTCCGCGGAGACTCTTTGTAGCGTGTCGAGGGATTCCATCTTCAACCACTTGCAAAGGGGCATCTTCCTGTAATGATACTTACATCCGAGAGTCATATTGAATCAAGTGTGAGACCTCCTGCCAATGAGTATCTTCTCCGCCAACTGGACCAGGACCGTTTCGGGTATCCGAAATGTTGTGAAACATCGATACGGAATCAATGTACGGATGATTTACTTCAGTTGGGCCCCGGCTACTGCGTTAAACCGTTCTAGGTCTTCCCAAAGACTTGTCTGTGTCTTTGAGGCCGTGTTCGCATGGTGGGTTCTGCGCGTTGGACTAAAAAGTTAGCCGACTACTCCGCTACTTTGCAAGACCAAGGACGAAGAGGTTACTTACAAAAAGATTGACACGTTTATCTTCCTCGGGCTCGTCTCAGTCGTTGTACTCGTTCTCGCCCTCACCGTCCTCGCTCTCGCTATCCGAGTAGTCGTCGTCCCAACGTAGGTCGCTAGAGAGGACTACAAATGAAGTTGAAGCCTACCTAACTTAATCAGTATTATAACAAGAATCTCGCAGTACGATTTCCAGCGATGAAAAGTTACTTACCGACTTCTTTGCTGCATCGCGACCGAAACGGCTTTTTGTACGTGACTCTCTGGCAACGCGTCTTGCCGAACATGTATCGTGTGTCCAATGCTTCTACGTCTAATGGCAAAGATGCAGCTGTCTGTAGCCAGTCAAACGCTTGCAGTGCGCAGCCGTCGCATGTGCTGCTTAGTGCTTTGTGGACTGCTGTGTATGCTGTCGGACGGGCTGCGATCGATTTCAGTTAGAGATGAACCAACGACGAGACGCATCAGGAAGAAGGATATTACTCACCGTCGCAGCATCGCCTAGCTTTTCCAAGACGTCTTCTTCCGCACGCGGCTTTTTACAAGATGCAGGGGGTTGAAGGGTGGGAGTCGAAGAATTGAGGTAAGGGAAGACTGAAACTGAAACTGGCCATTGCTGAAAGATACGGTATATGGGCTGTATGTTGTATATTGAATTGGTCTATCAACTGTATAAATGAGGAGGGAGGTTTTTCTTGTACATTCCATGCCGAGATACCATGTACGCTACCTAAAGGTAGCCCTTTCCATGGCCACTCGTTTCACCAGCCATAGATTCCCATTAGCACTTGCCGGTATAGAAGGAACATAGCTGATAAAGTTCAGGAATTAGCGCAACTGTTATAAAACACTTGATACACGTAGCAAAGTTAAGTGGTGAGGGCAGGAGCCACACCGAAGCGAAACGAGAGGCATTGGACTTGCTTGAATGGCATTGCGAGATCGGCGGCTAGAACGTCACGCATACTGGGAGATTAGTGGAAGTTGTCATGAAAGATACAGCGATTAAAGCTTAGTACTTGAACTACATAGCAGAATTAGACTTCTGACTCATTTTTGCATTCGGGCACCTTCACTTCAAGCTCTTCTTGCCTCCCTTACTTAGCTTGACTACACGAACCATGCCTTCACATTAATCCAAAGAGACATCTATTATACCGGCTGCAAGCAGCCACAATATCTTGTAGAACCGCACGAGGCACCGGAAAGAAGGCCCCAAAGCCCCAAACTTCAACCTCTAGATAGATTACATTCCTTTATGTTCTTACTTTCTTATGTCAGGCGGTACTCTAGCTTTGTTCCCTTTAGGGAGTACTCTAGACGTCTAAAGCGTCAGAGATGCGCCGCTGTATCTACGTAGGTAGCATATAGCAGACCAATAGACGTAAACGTTATCATCATCATCATCACGACACCCCTCGTAATTGTAACCCGTAATAGAGACATTCATAACCGGGCTATGAGTCACCATTTAATAATAGGTTTGTTATTCTATCAAATAGCTTCCCGACTGCCAATTCAAGTCCACTCAATAGGTTTACGGGCCGTTTACCAGGGCAAAATACCTCCGTCAAGATCCACCATCCCATTCTTCTCAATGTCAGCATCCCTCTTCCCTAGGACGATATCCGCCAGAGCTGCGGCCGGTTCCTTGGGGTCTCTGGCACCCCCTTTGAGACGCATCTCGCGACCTTTCTCGCCGGTCAAGTTACTGACGCACCAGCCGGGGTTGAACGCGAGAACCTTGCAACCCCACTCGGCGAAATTGAATCGGTGGCAAGCCGCCAACATATTGAGCGCCGCCTTGGACATGCGGTAAGAGTCCCCGCGGATGTTTCGGTACTCGTATTCCGGGTCCAGTCGAGACGTCACTGAGCCCTGCTCCGAGGATACGTAGATTATGTAGGGATTCGCCGATTTCTTTAAGAGTGGCTCTAGTGCTTCTGTCACCATCACCTGACCAAACAGGTTGGTCTCGAAAGTCTCGCGGAGAGCGGTTAGTTGGTCCATCGGTTGATAGATTAGAATACCAGCGTTGTTTATCAACACATCCAGCTTTCCAAGCTGAGTTTCAATTTGCTTTCTAGCCGCGTCGATGGTTTTTTGGTCGGTCACGTCGATCTGAATCACGGATATTGGACCTTTTAAAGAGCTCCCGCGAGTCGACTGTAACTCATCCAAAGCCTTTTGGCCCTTTTCTACGGAGCGGCTGCCGAGTAGGATGTGAAAATCGGCCGACGTAGTTGATAGAGCAGCAACAGTTTCGTAACCAATTCCGCTGCTGGCCCCTAAACTAAAATCAGTCTCTTGATTATATCTTCATATCGAGTGACCTACCGGTGACGAGAATGATGGTCTTGTTGGAAGCCATTATGAGTTAATACTGCTTGACGTAAAGTTGAAATGATTAGATCTATGTTTGTAACTCATATGTTGATTAGTACCAGATATATGACAATGATGAGGTGGAGATTAGTTAAACTAATGTATAAAGTCCGTTAACTGCGAACCAGTACCTCGACGTGCATCTTTCAACTTCATTTCTGGGTACTTGCGAGTCATGTTACGTTTAAGCTTCCCATTCATAGGTATATTTGGTGACGTATCCTTTGACAACATAGACAATAAAGGGCTTCATACGTGATATCAGTGCTTAAGTGGAGCAATCTAAATATTCTTATTGCTTCTCCTAAGTTTAGAATACACCACTGAGGGTGAATTGATGGCCTTCGTACCTCAGCTGCCCACCGAGAGGTAAGAAACGTGGTATTTGCCCCTTACAAAGGGCCAATGCCATTTTTCCATTTGGTATTAATGGGTTCCGCGGAGACCGCGACTGCACCGCCGCCGTATGCTTTATACTGCAAGCTAGTCGTGATGCCATATAGTATTAAATCCTGATTTGGTTTGGGGTCGCATTCACCTATCCGGATGATGCTGAGATAGCACCTTAAGTCCGCGGTATCTTGCAGTTTGAGGTCACTATACAATCACTATTTTCAACCATAATATCCAAAAGCCGGAGCTAAAGTCAACGTCACGGCATCTTCATATACACTCCGCTCTATTATCCGGCGGAGATAAGGTCCTCGGACATTCTTTCATTGTCCGAGTCCGGGAGGTTGACTATATACATCTCTATTCAGTTCAATCGACAAATGTAAATCATGAGCATTTAAAGACATAAAGCAAGATCCTTATTTGTGTCCTAACTACGTATTACGCCTTAGTGCGGTTCATGGCGTATTAAAATGGTATGTAAATGCATGATACGGCTTCATGATCTTCGTAGCTTTAGAGATATCACCAAGGTTTTCATTTACCGTTTGAGATAGCTTTGATATAACTAGTATTTCTTTTCTCTAATTTAGTAATGACATTGCCGTTTGAGTAATGATTAAAATTTCAAGATTCAATGCCGTCCCGGGGCGCACCAATACTACTCACAAGTCGAGGTAACTCAACATTAACCTCCGATCGCTGTGAAGGCTTAGTTGTTTAGTAAAATTACAACTAGGTAGCATGAATTCCTTTCGGGAATATCGAGTAGCGAATTAGACCCGTTGGTGGATAACTCATCCGCGCCGTAATGATTCTAAACAAATCGTGTTGATTAAAGTACGATGTCAGTTCGACATTATTAGGCCTCTCGACCCAAGGAAAGTAGTTATAGCGTAGATCAAACCAGCTTAAATCTTCCAACCGCTCTTAGTAGATAACTACGATCCAGAAGATGAAACGCAATTGTCCCCCTAATAAGCCTAACCTAAACAAACCGTCTTCATAAGAACTGAATTACTCGGCAATGATTCAAGTTGGGGAGTTTACGATACTATCGAGTAATATGCCCATTGCCAAATATACTGGTGGTGCTCTGGGGATCCAAAACGCTATCAAAGTAAATCTAGTACGATACTGTCACAACAAAAATCAAGAAAAGGGGAGTTTTGGAATGCTCCACTATACAAAGATTGTACGAGTAGGATCTGTATTTATACTAGTTAGGAGCGGGTTATAGCAGAGGGTATAAATACACCTTATGTGATAGATACAATGTGTTAATATGGGGTTGAATGAAGATAGAAAGCAAACATTAGTTGGTGCTCCGGACCCCGGAGGTTAACATAGTCGGCTCCCGGGCCTACCGGGGTATCGTCCGAGGTGCGAAGATGGTACGGCGGACCTTATTGGATCTTGATGTGGGATCGCTTTTATCTGGTTCTAATTGGTTGAATTTACCTTGCGATTCTCAGTAGGACTCAATTCGTTGGTAGGAACCCTAGAGATCGTACGTTGCTCCAATTATGTCCCAGCACAACCAGCACAACCAAAGGTGGTACCTCTCGGGATCCGATTTCTGCGCTCTAGGATTGAATAGTGACTTTGGTTTTCACAGCCTTCGTAGTGGATTTCCCAAAGCCATGGCCAATTACGAACGCGCTACATTTTGCAGTACCCCGATACGACTCGAAAGTAAAAACAAATCAAAATGCTCCGCCCATTACTACGTTTCTCTTCCGCTTCGGAGCGCGATCCCGATTTTTATTCGAGTTCCGACTTCCAAGGTTGTTAACGGGACCCATAATGCTTTCTAGGATACCTCCTGATTTACCGTAGGTACCCCCGACTCGGGAATCTTGTTAACCCGAGAGTCACGACACCCTGGTCCACGGAACACTCGTAATCCCCGTTAGGTGGTCGGGTTATATATAGCTTCCGGTGATGGCCGGTTTGTAAACTCTGACCGGCACAATCTAATACTCGATACTCTCTAAACGTTAGATATGACCATGAAGGCCGACGGAGAGTTCAAAATTATAATCGCCGGCGGCGGCATTGCCGGCCTCACTCTTGCTAATATGTTGGAGAGACTTGGCTTAAACTATACCCTCTTGGAATCTCACTCGGATATCGCACCCCAGGTGGGTGCCAGTATCGGTCTATTTCCCAATGGCCTACGAATCATAGACCAGATAGGATGCTATGAGCAGATCCTCGAGGTGTTCAAAGGTGAGGATCTCTACGGAAGGACGTGCCTACGAGAGAGGAACGGCAGGGTCCTCTCCATTCTCCATAATCTGAGGGGCCATTTGGAACGGCGGTAAGTCTTCCGAGACATAAGACGCCGGCAGATTAAACCCTGACAATTATCGCAGACACAGTTATGGACTGCTCTTCTTCGATAGACAGAGGCTCTTGCAAATTTTATATGATCATCTCGACCATAAGGACCGAGTGCTGCTGAATAAGAAATTCGCTACGGCTAGCCTGACGGATGGGGGCGTTAGAGTTACATGCGCGGACGGCTCGGTATACGACGGCACTCTTCTCGTCGGTGCGGATGGTGTCCACAGCGCTGTCCGATCTACTATGATTGCCCTTGGCGATAAGATACGGCCGGGCTCGTTCGATCTAAAAGAGCAGGATGAAATTCCTTGCTATTACAGGTGTAGCTTTGGTATCGCTCAGCACGTACCGGGCTGGATCAAAGGCGAACAGCATATCGTGGTGGGCCGACGACAGTCTCAGCTCGTTGTTTCAGGACCCGAAGACCGTGTGTACTGGTTCCTGTTTGACAAGCTGCCAGAGACGAAGTACGGCAAGGATATACCCAATTTTACGAAGGAAGACGAGGCAGACTTTATCAAACACAATTTCAACCTGCCCATTACCGAGAAAGTTACGCTTGGTCAAGTTTATAGCAAGCGTCTCTCGTCAACTCTGACACCGCTGCACGAATACGTTTGCAAGAAGTGGTTCTTCGATAGAATCGTAACGCTGGGGGACTCTGTTCACAAGGTATGTCGGCTCGGTACAGTCGCGGCTCCATGTCCCTCCACTATCTAGCTTTATTAATCTAACTACGTTGTCAGCCTAATCCTATCGGAGGTCAGGGCGCAAACAGTGCTATCGAGTCCTGTGCGGAATTCGTCAACGCGTTGTTGCGTAAGAGAGACGATCGAGGCGGAACTTTAAACGGTCTCTGGAGTCAGGAAGCTGAAGATATCTTCCGGGAGACGCAAGACGCCAGACAGAAGAGGGCACAGACGGTTGTCGATCTAGCTCACCGGAACCAGGCCCTAAACGCTCACGAGAATGCCCTCTTATCTTCGCTGCTCTTCAACTACCTAGTGCCTTTATCTGGTAGGGAAGGCCAGCTAGGTCGAAATGTTCACGTCTTTACTGATGCTACGACGGTGAAGGCGCTCCCCGTCCCCAAGCGAATCCGAGCGATTCCTTACCGCGATGAGCTGCCGGCGGTTCCTTTAAGCAAGGGTTTATTTTTCGTTCGAGGCGCCTTAGTTGGCGCTATGAGTCTTGCCTTACTCGTCACCACTAAGGCTTGGCGACTTCCGTTTACTGCGATCGAAGACTGGGTAGATAAGGCTCCTGTCGTCATACGATGGTTTGGCGAGAATAACATGTCAAAAGCGCTGAACATGTACGTGTCGGTCCTAGCGATACCGATGCTAGACAGAGACTATTCCACCAGGTTACATCTGGTAAACTTTCTTTCCCAACTCATATCTCCGCTTCTCATCTATTGCATAGAAGGGTACCGCGCGGGGAATCAAGTAACTCCTCTCGCTCTGCCATCCGCGTATTCGGTTGGCATGCAACTTCTAGGCATCGGTCGTATTGGCCCGGCGCACACCATTCTGAGCAGCTTTTTCACACACGAGCTGCCAACCGGTCGCCCTATACCCGTAAGCGTAGCCAACTCTTTGGTTCCTGCTATCACGCTCGGCTTTGTAATTCCGACTATCTTCGTCTTCGTACCCGTTCCTAGCATTAGAAGTTGGCAGAACTTACTAGCATTATGGCAGTTTGGGCCGCCCCTATTCAACATATTAACCAACGTCTTCTCCGCAGGCCTCGAAAGATGGCAACGCGGCAACAAGTCTGTAGCTGAATACAAAGGAGAGCATCAGTTTGACTGCTACGAGAAAAAGGACGTACCTATCCTCAAGTCGGTCTATACGTACGCTTTTGCCGTGCAAGCTACAGCCCACATCGCCACCCTCTCGTACGCCTGGATGCATCCGGGTATCTCAATCGCCAAGACCTTCTTTGGTCTGCCAAACCCCTTTGCTCCGTCGTGGAACTTACCAGACCTCTTTGCAGAGGTAGCCACGTTTTTCAGGTACGATATGGCAATCGCGGTTACGTCCTTCTTAAGCGGCAACCTGTACTCGATCTGGGATCTACGCCGACTCGGGTATATCAAGACTACGGATGCAATCAAAGCTGGCCTGGCTGTGGTAGCTGGACAATTTCTCGTCGGTCCAGGTGCTACCTGGGCAGGTTTATGGTATTGGCGAGAGGAAAAGCTAGCGAGCTTAGATAGAAATAGAATGACTTAATCGACGAATTCTCCTACACTTCTTGAACAATCAAATAACACGCCGGTTAACCCTTCAGACCGGACGATATATGGGCAATTCAGAACGATTGTACCTATTTTATGGGAAGTCCCCTATTGTCACCTGAACGACGAAACTCCTGCGTAATGAAAAGACCTAGGTACCTACCAGATATCTTCACATACTTGTAAGAATGAAGCAGGTGGACCTAGGTGGATTAATTATAATTTATCATCGAGCACATAGAGGCGATTCTGGGAACTACCTATGGGAAGATAGCCTTCAGCAAGCTAATAATAATACACCGGCATACTCTCAACTCACTTGTTGGTAATCTTCCTGCGGCCAGCCTTTGCTGCAATCCTCCAGCAGGCCTTCCTGACCCTCTTGCAACCTAAGTACCTAATTTTACCTATTGTCGAGTATTTTCAAACATTTCCTATATTTGACAACGTTCGTTTCCAACATAAATGAATCTGCAGCGCCCTTTCGCGCGCGAAGAGAAATAATAAGCCTGAACGCCACCAATGAAGAATTCATATAATATTCAGGGGAAGAAGGCTGCTTAGTCAGGTAGTAAAACGTACATGTAGTTAAATTACAGCGCGGTCACGTGTATGACGGTCATCCTGACCATTAGTGCAACTGTGCCAAAATCAAGAAAATTAATTGCACTATGTCTAATAAGGTAATAGTACATAACATTAGATGTACAGTATAGGCTTAACTATTTGCGCTGTATATTTTTTACATACCTTTTTTGACCTTATATTACAATAACCTAACCAATATTTATCTAATCTTTTTTAAAAAATTCTTAATATTTAATTATAAAATAACAAAAATTCTAATCCAGGTTATATATAATTTAACCTAATATTGGTAAAGATATTAAAGAAATCATGTAATTATATAAACATTACTATACAGCCATTTTCTCCACAAGTTTAAAAGATCAGCCAATTAGATTAAAAATTCGATTGTCAATTGCTTTATACACCCACGTATAAACAACACATTACACATTCAAATAACTTTACGAAAACAACAACCTAAACATTACAATTAGTATCATTTTATAGCCTTAATTGATGCGAAAATAATGATTCAAGTTGCATTTAAATCGGCCTCTTAGCTGTTATGTTGTAATAGAATCAAATAGCGCTTGTTTGGAGAGGCAAGCACATGATACCCTTTAAAAGCACCTCGATAAAGTCATTCCAAACAAACTCCAAATACTTTAATAGAAATATAATACTCAATACACATCGCATAAACATGCAGTTTGGTCCATTATTTTCGCATCAATTACGGCTATAAAATAATACCAATTGTAACGTTTAGGTTGTTGTTTTCGTAAAGTTATTTAAATGTGTAATGTGTTGTTTATACGTGGGTGTATAAAGCAATTGACAATCGAATTTTTAATCTAATTGGCTAATGTTGGAGATCGGATATTACATATTATTTTGTATATAGCGTACTGTGCACTTATTATATTACCTTATTAGACATAGTGCAACCAATTTTCTTGATTTTGGCACAGTTGCACTAATGGTCCACCATAAGCAATCATAACCCACGACGCTTTTAACACTGCTGATTCACTGTTGAATGACAGCGGCTAGCCGCTTGCACATAGGAACAATTACCCCGATGGCGGGTATACCGTCGAATATAAATATGGCTAAAGACCGTCGCTGTCTGATGGTTGTTGTAATAGATGTTTTAGCATAGACGCTTGTATTCAAAACATAGACTCAAAATAAAACCCTTTAGATGACACCAGTAGTTTCAAATACGACATCTGCTAACGCCGGATCGCGAACTGGAAACGAGATGAAGGACTTACCAGACTACCCCCTACCGCGAGGCGTCCATGCTGTCCCGCCCGAGTTCTTAGACACGCGACCCGATGACGAACTCGACAATGATATCATGCACCCGAGGCCCGTCTCGAGCGAGAAGAATATCTGGTTCTTCTGGCACACGGGCTACGAGACGATGCATCCGTACGCAAAACGCAACGTGCGTGCCTGGCATCGGCGCCTGTCGAAGCGCGGCTGGACGGTGCGGGTTCTTGACCGCGCGTCGGGCTCGCTTTCTAACGTGGCTAATTTCCTCGACGTCTCAGATCCGCACACGTTCCCGCGCGCATTTACCGAGGCTACTATCGGCGGCCGTTACGCCATGCAGCACGTGTCTGATCTCGTGCGGTGGCCGCTGCTACTTCGGTACGGCGGCGTGTATGCGGATGTTGGTCTGATGCAGATCGGAGACCTAGATAGGCTGTGGAATGAAACTGTTGCTAATCCTGACTCTCCCTTCGAAGTACTCTCGTACAACCTGAACGGCGGCTTAGCCAACTATTTTCTTGCGTCGCGCCCGAGAAATCCATTCTTTGAGAGGTGCCACCGGCTGTTTCTTGCTCTGTGGGCCGAAGACGGCGGGAAGACGAGTACCGACGGGATGCATGCCAGCCCGCTTCTCAAGGGCGTCCCGCTTATGAGCAGCTCGGCTACGATTAAGGAAGACGGAAAGACTATTGGGTCCGACGAGGTGCAGAAGATGTTGAGCGACTATATCGCCCAGGGCCAGGCGACTTCGATGGTCATGGGCTTGGTTGACGACGAGGACGGATGGGACGGGCCGCAATACGCTGCGAAACATATATACGCCATCGATTACATGGAAGGGTCTCAGCTGATCAACGAAATTACTAGTTGGGATGGGAAGGAGGCGTTCCATCTCATGTCGCTCTCTCTCCCGAAGCGCGGCGAAGTAGAAAGCCCCGAGCAGAAACAGGCGCGAGAGATTGTAGAAGCCTGCCTGCGTAGGAGCTTCGGATTCAAGCTCGCGCACGGTTTAATCATAAGGGTATTCAAATATACGCTGGGATCGCTGTGGAGAGATCACGAGGGCTCGGATGACGTGCCGGGGACCTATGCCCATTGGTTGAGACACGGGACAGCTTACTGGAATCAAGACGAGTTACCACCAGCTTTAGATTTTGGAGTCATAGAACCATTTAAGAGAGGTCCTTTATTAAGGGAGAAATAACTTGAAATAGAAAGCCTACGATTTTAGTCTCCAGATGTTATCAGATTTCTCATGTTTATTTTATAACTTCAACCCAGTAGTTTTCTCAGAGGTAGGTAGTAGACTGAGGTTGATATTGGGCCGAGACATATCAGATTAAGATGCTTGGAAGTTAACGTTATTCAACTACATTATGAAGTGTAATTGGTCTTATTCCGGAGATGCACTAGAATAACACAAGTTACAACACGTGGATGTGAAAGGCCATTGTAATGAATTAGGAAAAACTGGCGAGACTTAGGTTGCCGCCTCGAAATCTGTCAATGGGAATTTCCATCTTGAAACTCACTTATCACTACCTTAGGTACCCACTAACGCCGTCCCTGACCACGATCGTCCAGATGCGTTCATGCCTTAGCGGTAAGGAGGATTTCCGTACCCGCTTCCCCATTGCTGTCCGTAAGACGAATATCCTTGCGGGGGTGGTGGTGCTCCGTATCCTTGATCGGGGTAACCTTGCGACGGTTGTGATGCGCCGTAATACGAGGCGGCTTCGCCCTGGGGCGGTGCTCCGTAGCCCTGCTGAGGATAATTTTGTTGGCCGTAGCCCTGATGCTGAGGGGGAGGCTGGCCGCCGTAACCCTGCTGAGGAGGCTGGTGCGGTGAATAGCCGTAACCCGGGCTCGGTGCCGGACGTGCTTGAGAATGGGAGGATGTCGGACGGCTCGATCCGTAACCTGATCCTGGACGCAGCGTCTCTCCGGCGCCCATGGCGTTGAGATCTCTCGTGGCGCACTGCGACCAGAGCGAGCCGGAAGGTTTGCCGTGGCCCAGCTGCTCCATAAGTCCACCGTCGAAGATGCCGCCGCCGTGCGAGTGGCCCTTCTGCCCCGATAAGACGTGGTTCTTACCGTTCCGTACGGATTCGGAGCCTAGCACGCGGTTGAGATCGTGACGGCGCGGGTGCTCGTCAGCCCACTTGCGCACGGTATTAAACATCTCGCGCTGGATCTCGACGCGCTCGTCTCGGAGGGCCGGGTGGTGGAAAGCGCGTAAGACGTCGCTGACGACTTCGTCTACCGGCACGCCGGGGTTATCCCAAGCGTATAGAACTCGCCTAGAGATGTATCAACGCGTTATCCGTATTACCTACGAGTTTCGAGGGGATGCTTACGGGACGACGTATTGCAAGATCGTCGCGGCGATTCTTCCGGCGACCGGGTTTAGAACGTTTGTGAAATGGTCTTTAGAGAGCATAGAATGAGTCGGGTCGGTGCAGTGCGGATTCTTCCACGGCTCGAGCTGCGAGTTGGCGCTGGCGCTGATGACGCCGGAAGAGCCGTCCTTCAGCGCTTTGGTGACGGCGTTTATGATAGGCCTGACGAACGGAGCTAGCAGGCCGAGGACGAACGCGGTGAGCGTCTCGCTGATGTGCTCGAGGAGGCTCTCCAGGCCGGGAATTTTAGCGATGCCTCTGTTGATCGACTTTACGATCTTGTCGCGGAATTCTAAGATGGGGTAAATCTGCTTGGAAACCTTGACGGGGTCGAAGTTCTCGCTCATTCCGGGGACGAGGTTCGGGTTAGCTCGCGTGCCGGAGTACGCTTGCTGCTCGTTCCGCCTCTCTTGATCGTCGGCCATCCTCTTCAGATCGCGCGCCTCCGAAGCCATTCCGCCTCCGACGCCGGGCAGCTGGCCGACGAGAGAGATGAAATCGCCCGCGCCGAACCCGCCCCCGAACCCCCGCGCGCCGCTACCCCCCGACGGCACGGAAGACTGCTCCGAGTTCTTCAAGGCGATGTCCAGCTGGTCGACCTCGGATTGCGTGAAGTGGTCGTTGGCTTCTCCCAGCACGGAGTGCAGAAAGTCGACGCCGCCAAAGGTACCCGTCACTAAGGGGAAGACTCGCTTGCCGCGTAGGTTGATCTCGGAGCTCGATCCGCAATGAGGAAAGACCTCGTGGTAGCCGAGTTCGCGGA